CCCCAGGGAAACCAGCATGTGCCTGTAGTTAGCATATATTGTTAAGGGACTATTCAACAGAGTGTGATCCATCAACACTTCTGAAGTCCTAAAACAAGAAGGTGGGGTTAGTGTAGTGGTTTTCAAACAGACACAGAAGCAAGTCAAAATCAGTAAACTACATGCTTGTGTGGCCTCTTCTGGAAAAATTCACATGCCACCCAGCTAATTAGCAGAATGCCCACAGCTAGGTTTTTTTTTCTAATGATGATGTACATTGACACATGCCTTGATACACATAGAAGAAGATATCCCAAACATGGATGGAAAAGATTACAGGGAACACTGGTCACAATCCAATTTTAATGAGATCAGAAGGGCAGATTTAAGATTTCCTGGATTGTGGGGCTCAGGTTATAGGCCCTCCTGGCTAAGGCTGAACTCCTTGGGCTTTGGTTTCCTCCCTGGGACTTGAGAGAGCTCAGGTTTCAGCTTCTGCCCCATGAGGTCATGTAGTAATTTTTGTTGTCAGAAGAAGTTTTCAATGCAATGAAGTTTGAGAACCAGAAGGTTACTGTAATATTGTGAAACTGGGAATTCCCTTCCCAGACCTGAAGAACAGCTCTGTTTGTCTCAAAAGCTTGTAGCTCATGAGCAGAAGATGATCCAACAAAAGATAATACCTCACCATGTGGTCTCTCTAATTACCTTGGAGTGACACAGCCACTACTACATTGCCCAAAGTCAGTGGCAGAGGGAGGAGTAGAACTTAGGACTTACAACTAAAACTATGATTTAATCATAGGCATTTTTAGTAAAAGTCGTGGACATGTGAGGGGCCATGAATTTTTGTTCACTGCCCATGAGCTATCCTGTCTGATACTAAAAATACCTGTGATTTAAAATAGGAAGGTGGAGGAGGGGGTTGAGGCACTCAAGCCCAGCAGCACCAACTGCATGGGGCCACAGCATACTCCCAACTTCTGCGTAACCACTGCCCAGGAGCCACCAGAACAGTGGCTGGGGGGGGATCAGACACATTAATTTCCACAGGAAACATGCAGGTCACAGAATCCATAATTTCCTTGACATTCAAGAAGCCCTATGTATAATTCTCAAATTTTTGCTCCAACCATTAAACAAAAGATGCCAGAACAGGGATACCAATGAACCTGCAATGGGAACAAAAGTTATACCAGAGAAGTTACACTGATATATTTTGCATGTGTCAAGCAGAACATTCCAAAACCAGAGAGATAGATCTGCATCCCTCCTTTCATGATAGACTGTTAGGCCCTCCAGAAAATCCCACAAAGTCCATTTCTGCACTTGGACTTAGAGACAGGATTAGTCTGAGACTTGATCTGGTTATCAAAAGGTTGTGGTTTTTTTAAAAACAATTTTGTATGCCATAGCCCAGAATTAATTTTTTCCCATTAGAAACACAAAACTTGTAATCTAAAGCAGTTTGCAAAAAGAGAAAAAAATTCAAAAATAGTTCTAGCACTGCAGAATTTCTTGATATTTTAGCTGTTTATCTCAAAACCGACTCTCTTATATCCAATAAAAGGCAGCTCATGGACAAAAGAATAATGCCAGTACGTAAAGGATATTTCACTGTTATTTTCACTTCTCCAGTTCATTATCAACCCCAGAAAAAGCTGACTGTTCTCCATACCTTGAAGCATCCAAAAATTTAGTTGGTGTGAAAAAATCTTCAATCGGAATCATTTCCTGTGAAGCTTTTTCCAGTTTTTTTATCTTCTTTTTCATACGGTCTTTTTGTACTTGTGCTCTCTTTGGATCCACCTTCTTCTTCTTCTTTGGTTCTGCTCTAATAGAGGAAATTAATTTTTTTATCTGTGTACATATACGTGTAATAATTAATACTTTCATTTCTATAGTAATAGGGAATATTTATTCATGTCAGCAATTTGGAAAGTATTCTTTTAGCAATTCAATATATAATGTAATGCTGTACATTTTCTGATCAGTCTGTACATGAGAATAATACTGAGCATTTTTCAAACATTAATTAGTCTTCATAGTGTAGTAAAATATAGTAAAAACTATGTGTGCTTCTTCCCCCTTCCATTACTTAAGCTTGAAACAGCACATATCATTTAGCTGATTGCCCATGTTTTAGAAGCTGTAGAGTAACTAGCTGTTTAGACCCATTTCTCAAGGACTGGATTACACGTACTTGAGTTAAGCAATAGCAATTAGCAAATTTCCCTAAGTAAGCTATACTGGTAGTTGTTACTGAGTGGAATAAAGTTGAAGTATCCTAACCAATAACTCTGCAACACGAAGCTAAGGTAACAAATCAAGACATGCCAAGTTAGATAAGAAAGTTAAAGAAAGTATAAAAAGGATGCTTAGCCTACGCCCAAGGTCGGCTTTGCTTTGAGCACTGAGCTTCTTAGCCGAACCTTGGTTGCAACCAATAAAATTGAGTTGGACCCAGCCTAAAAGTGTGACTCTCTTCTGTGGGCAAATTGACTTAGCCTCCAGTGGACAAACCTAGCAATTTATGCAACAATAGCACTACTGTGATATACCCATTTGGGTCCATTACTTGCATAATGCTACAAAGTCAATAGCAGCCACGTTTAAAACTCTGGTGTCCTTGGTTGGCCTGGAGTCTACCAACCCATGCTGCTTTCTTATACTATACACACAATAAGCAGACAGGTTTTATATTTGGATGTTGGCTTGAAACAGAATTCATACAGTATTTTAGCTACTAAGTCATAAGGACGTTAAATATCAGTTAATTGAATAGTCAGGTAATCTCATGAATTCTGATTGGTGATTTGACTATTTCATAGTCCCCGACAGCCAGTGCACTCCAGCCCCAATCTCAAGGAGCCCTCTGCCACTCCGTGCTGCTGCCTTTGTATCAAAGGCAGCAGCACAAGGTGCCAGGCAGGAGCTGGGCCATGAGGGGAGCCAGTTTGAAAAACAGCTCCCCTCGTGGACTGGCTGCTGAGCTCCCAGAGCCAGTGTGAGCCAGGACAGATCTGGGTTAGCTGCCCATCCAGCTGTTAATACACTTTAAATGCAGAGCTACAGTGGGAGTAGATCCTCGACCCAGCGTGAACCAGGACTGAGCCGGGCTGCCTGCCTGCCCGGCCCCTAATACATGTTAAATGCAGAGCCATAGCAGGGGTAGGCCCTGGAACTGTAGCAAACCATGACTGAGCCAGGCTGTTGACCAGCCTGTTAAAAAATTTACTGGCAAGTGGAGGGAAGGGAAATGCATGTAGTCTGTAGTATTAACTTATAAGCTTTTGCTTATCGGTTAATCAGCTACATTATTACATCACTACTGAGTCATTTTAACCAACTTGTATTAATAAAAGTTAGCATGCAAATTGAAACTATACATGTATACAAGAATACATGGAAGTACTATAATCGCCATACTCTGGGTTTCCCTAATTTGGGAACATCTGTAGTATGGATCCTGGCAGGAAGAAGCAGCCTTGTATGCTGCAGCTCCACCTTTCCCTGAGCTGGAGGAATGGCAGCATAGTGATGTGCTCTGCCTGAGGCTTTTCCCTGATTATCCCATAGTGGCATCCCACTCTCATCCCATTCACTCTCTGGTCTGGCAAAATCTTTAATCTGGCAAATCCTGTTTCCCAGGGTTGCCAAATTAGAGAAATTAAAGTGTATTTTTAGTGCCGTTAGTGCTACATTTCAACTACTGTTCAAACAAAAAATCTGGAACACTGTTTAAACTAAAAGTTATTTAAACATGTAACCCTGAAACTGCTAACAATCCTAGTGGTTACCCAACTGCAGAGTCCGCAGCAAAACCAGCTCTCCAGGAGCGGCAAGGGCTGCCATCTCTGCTTCCATGGAAGTTTTGCTGCAGGCTCTGCTGTAGAAGCCTCACCAGGAGTAGGCTTCTCCCAAGGAATCATTAACCTTCTGCAGGGGAATGGTGAGGAGGGGAGGGAACCAGCTATGGAAAGGTGCTGCTCCAGCCAGCCAGAGCAGCCTCTGTCTGTGGTGGGCCCCGGGACTGGAGCAGTTATGATCTAATCTAATCTTCAAACATACACGTATAATACATGTCTTCATAATGGAGGTATTAAGAGTAAATATAACTAAAATGTATTTAGAGCACTACTTACAAACTGCATATATGGGAATTAAACATTATCCTACAGCAGTGGTCCCCAACGTGGTGCCCGCGAGCGCCATGGTGCCCGCCGGGGCATTTGTGTGTGCCCGCCGACAACCTGGGCCGGCCCCGCCCCCGGCACGCGGTGCACTGGAGGCGCCGGCCCCAGGCACGCGACACACACCGGCGCCTGGTGCGCAGCGCTCAGGCAGCCCCAGCC